AGGGAGGTATTGTTACCCCTGTTTTACAGACAAAAAAATGAGAGGTTAATGAAGCTGCTCAAGGTCACACAGCAGAGTGTGGATGGGTCCTAGCCTCGTCTGACCCATGAGACAGTGTTCTTTTCACCACCCACACATTCTGCCTCTCACCAGCTCTGGGACTTTTGCAAGGCCTCAGTTTCTGTATTCTCAAACATGGGGAGCCAAGCAATACTAGGTAGAGAAGTTTCCCACATGTGGGTCTGTGAACAGGTCACTTCATTCCATAGTGGGTCACAACACAATTTTGTTTTTGGAAGTTGAAACACCACCACCGTTTATTGAGGGCAGCTCAGGATGTTCCCTGCGCACTCGGGTTGGGGGTGCCGTGCGTGCATCCTGGCTCTGCTTCCTTTTCTAAAGCAAAGAGCCCAGCGGGGCGCCCAGCATCAGCCTTGCTCCTTCAGTCACAGGTCTTTGCAATGATCCCATCATCTTTCCCACTTGTTTGTACAATGGTAAGAGCAAGCAGGCCTGTTCCGGGGACCTGGGCACAGGACAGCTCGCTGACGCAGCATGCCTGCGTTCTGTGAGCGCTTGTCTTCAGGCAGCCTCTTGGGCACCTGCAAACGTGTTTCCTTCCGAAGCTGAGTTGGTGGGGGGAGAAGATGGCGGAGGGATGGCTTCTGAAGGGTAATAACCCTGGGGAGCCAGCTGTGTTCCCGGCGGGGCTGAGAGTCTTAATTCACTTGTTTATCCTTCTGAGGACATAGAGAAAGTTCAGGTTCTTAGCACCAGAAGAATGATAATTAAATTAAACTTGATGATTAAATAAATGATTTTCAAGTTTTTATTAGCTGCGGAATCCAGTGCGTAAAACAATTAAAATCCCATGCTTCTGATTAAATCCAGAGGAAGGAGGCTGACAGCTCTCATCTCCCCTCTCCCCAACCTGCCCTGCTTATAGGTGGGTTCCAGGGATCTCCGCAGAGCACTGTGGGAAATTATTTTCATCTGACCAGGACCCCTGACTTTTTCACCCAGAGTCCTATAAGGTGAGCCATTTACCAAGCTTGACCATCTGGCTGGTGGCAACCCTGGAGCTCCCATTCAGGACTGAGCCACTGCTGTGATAAGTCAGCAAGGCAGTCAGGAAAACGGTCAAAGGTTGTGCTGGCCGATACAAAGGTTGTGCCGGTAGGACAGCACCAACCACATACCTGAGGACCAGGCATTTCACCTGGGCAACCATGAGAACAGGCCACACTGAGAGCAAGGCCAGTGGTGATGTTCCTGCTTCCCTCTACTCTGGGCTTTTGAACCTCCGAGTCCATTCTCTTACCAGGACATCCTTCCTGTTCTCCCCGTGCCTTGCTTTTTTACCTTTATTGCACCTGTTATGAAACCTCATCCAGATGTCCAGTTCCTTGGTTCTCCCACTTTCTCTAAGTCCATAGCTGTCTCCTAGTTCATTTGTTGTCATACCCGCCCCAGCTCCTGGGCTCCATGACTCCAGGCAATCTCTAACCAATCCCCAACTCCTTCACTCCTGGGCAATGCTGATCGAGATGTGGTAACTCAGTGTCCACATCTCCAGCCTTGACCTCTCTCCCAAGTTCCCACGCTGTAAACACACGCTGATGGGACTGGCCCATAGGTGAAAACAACAAGCCCAAGTTCTCTGCATCTAAAGAGGGAGGCCAATAACCAGGCACCGCCTGCGCTTCTCAAGCTCGACCTCACATTAGAATCACCTGGAGGACTTTTACACCATTAAGAAACTTGAACTCCGCCATAGACCAACGAAATCAGAGTCCATGGCGGTGGAGGCCCAGTATATTTTCAAAATAAACTTTTAAATGTAATTCTAATATATGTCAGAAAATTACATAGAAATCTTGGCTAATTTTCACAAAGTGAATACCCATATGTTCCTACCACCAAATTGAGGGACAAAAGCAACCACCAGCAGCATAAAGCCCCTGCGTGTTCCGTCAGCCCCTCCTCCCCCAACATGCCCCTGATTTCTAACATCATACACTTGTTTTGCCTGTTTTTGATATTTATAGAAATGGAATTGTAGAGCATGCACTCTTTACGTCTGACTTCTTTGATTCAATATTCACCTGTGTTGTTTTGGGTAGCTGTTGTTCATCTATTTTCACTGCTGTATAGTATTCCATTATCTGACTCTACACATAATACACACATCTATTGTGCTCCTGCTAAATGTGGATTGTTTGCAATTTTTAGCTCTTGCAAACAATGGTGCTATGAACATTCTTGTACCTGTTTTTTGGCATATATGTATGTGCGATCCAGTTGAGAATACATCTAGGAGTGGAATTGCTAAGATATGCAGATGTTCAGCTTCAGTGGATAATGGCAAACAGTTTCCAAAGTAGTTGTATCACTTTGGTGTTTTGCAAAAGCTCCTCAGGTGATTCTAACGGGTGGCTGGGGCTGAGAACACTGCCCCAGGCGAAACCAGCCCTGCTGCCAACCTGAAACCCTCCCCTCATCCAAAGACCTGTGAGGGGTGGGGGCATCATTGGCCTTGTTCCAGGGGAGAGGCTGGTCCTTCTCTGCCCTGTAGGGAAGGAAGGGGGATACATCCAACTCTGAGGTCAAGTGAGGCGGGGTCTCTGCAGGAATCTCTCTTGTGATTGGAATATCGTCTGGCCAAATGCTTGCTGGGGGTTTAACCTGAGACCCACGCTGACACCACCATTCAAATGGACTGAAGTAGGGCGAGAGAATTCCTGGGACAGCTTAATGCACGTCCCCTGAAGGAAAGGGTTACATGTGAGCACAGAGACACTGCCCACTTCTTTTCTGGCCTTGCCGGACTGGTTGGTAAAGACAGGGATTAGGAAGGACCAGGGAGTCTGTGCTGCAAAGGGAGAGACTGGCCCCTCCTCCAGCTTCCTGCAGCCTTCTGGGTGTGAGTCCCTGCAATTCCGGCTGCTCCCAATGAGCGAGCACAGAGCAGGAAAAGGACAGCAGCCACAGGGCTGTTGGCCAGCCGGGTGAGGGGGCTGAGTGGGGAGTGAGGGAGCCCCTCACAGAGAGGGAGCTGGGTGGAGATGCCAGCAGGGCCTGGGTCTGAGGGGTGCTCTGTAACAGGAGGGACCCACGTGAGACTAAAAACAAAACATTAACTCTTCTAGAAAGATGGCCATACTGGTAGAGGCCACCAGCAGCTCAAAGAACCAGAGGCAGGCAGGGACACCTCCCTACCACACATGAGGCCAGAATCACAAAATGACCCTCGCTTCCCTCGGCCCTCGTTCCTGCTCCAGCTCACAGAGAGAGGCCCAGAACAGGAAGAGGAGGCTGGAAAGAACTGGCCCTGCGCCCTCCCCACACAAATCCTTCAAGGCACAGGCTAGCCAACACCCACCACGGGAAGGGAAAGCTCGGAACCAGGCGTGAGACAGAAGAGTTAAAGGAGGGTCGACTGAAATTTTGTTCTAGATGAAATTTGTGTAACATAAAATTCACCACTTTAAGCATTTTGAAGTGTACAATCCAGTGGCTTTTAGTACATTCACTTGACTGAGATTTAATTAGCCAAAAATGAGGAAGTCTGTCCAAGATGCCATTAAGGACTAGGAGGAAAAGAGGAGAATTTTCCCTGACTGATTAGAGAGGCACGAAGAACAATTTTAGGACAATTCTATGAACTTTTACTAACACTGAGCTTCTCCATTCGTATATCCCTTCGGCAACGCAAACTCAGCATGCCCCAGAGTGAATGCATATCTTACTGTTCCAATCACCCCCCAGGGGATGGGGGAGAAACTGGAAGCTCCATCATGCACCCATCAACCAAGCCCAAATCCTGATCATCTTCCAGATTCCTACACCCAGACTTCTTGTCAGTCACAAGTCTGGGCATTCTACCACCTGACTCCCTCTCCGATTCATCCTCTCCCCTCAGCCCTCATTGCTGCAGCCTTTAATCTGAGCGTGACTGTCCCTTCCCTAGGCTGTGGCAGTAGCCTCCTCTCTGGCTGTCCTCCTCACTACACACCTGGCTCTACCTTGTCACTCAGGTGGCAGCAGAAGGGTCACTTCCCTGGCAAGGCCTTGCCTGCCCACCATCAGCTGCCTGTTCAGGCAGACTCCACCATGACTTAATGTTTTCATTCTACTTGTTCCATCTTTTCCACGCTGCTCATCACTGTCTGAGATAATCTTGCTGACTTACTTGTTTACTGGTTTATTTCCCGTCTCCACCCTTCAACCCTAGAATATAAGCTTCATGAGAGGAGAGTCCTCCCCTGCCTCCTCCTCCACTGTGTCCTCTGCACCTAGAGCTGCCCTGCCCTGTACACATAGCCATCAGCCACGTGTGTGTGTGGAGCTTTTGAACTGTAGCTAGTCTAAGGTGAGATGTGCTGTAAAGTACGAAATACACATCAATTTCGAAGACTTAGAATAAAATAATGTAAAATACCCCAATAATTTTTATATTGGTTACCTGTTGAAATGACAATACTTTGGAACTATCGGGTTAAATAAAATATATTATTATAAAGTTAATTCCACTTATTGCTTTTACCTCTTTTAAACATGGCTACTCAAAAATTTAAAATGACGTACAGGGCTCCCATTGCATTTCTATTGGACATCACTGCTCTAGACCCTTCCTGGCTCAATGGACAGGCAGATCCTCAGAGAACATTTGTTGAAGGAAAGAAGGTAGCCAAAATGATCTTTCTAAGAGCAAATCTCATCCTGTAACTCACCTGCTAAAAACTCTACTGGTTCCCCATTTTTGGCCAGACCAAATTTTTGTTTTATGACTTGACATATGAAGCTGTCATGACCAGGTCCTGCCTCTCCCACTGGTTTTATTACCTGCTCTTCCCCAACCAGGAGATACTGTCTCTTTGCACATGGTCTCCCCTCTGTTGGGCTGCCCCTCCTCCACCGTGTCTACTGGTGAACTCCCATTCATTCTTCCAGATGCTATCAATATCATCCTTTCAGAAAAATCCTTCCCTACTCTATAGGCAGAATCACCTCATCCTCTGCCAGAGCGACCAATCCTCTGTGAGGCTCATCGTTCCTGTGTATCGGATCCCATCAAGTCACCGCCTCATGTGTGCATCCTCACGGCAGATGAGGGCTCCCCGAGGGTGAGCAGGGTCGTGTCCTATTAATCTTTTATTCTTCAAACCTAATATAGCCAGCAGGTTGACTGGCTTCAGCTGCTGTGTGGTTCCCACTTGAAGTCTGGTTACAGTCAGAGGGAGGCTGGAACTGGGATCATCTGAGGCCCTGACTGGGCTGGGCATCCAAGATGGCTCCTTCATGCACATGCTTGGTGCCTCAACTGGGGTGGCTGAAAGAACTGGGGCTTGACTAGGCGGCCCTCTCCATATGGCTAGTTCAGGAGTCCTCACAGCGTGACAATCTCGGGATAGCTGGACTTCTTATATCAGTGGCTTTCCTCAAAGCGAGTGTTCCCAGAGACCTAGGCCACAACTGCAAGGCTTCCTATGACCTGCTGCAGAAGTCAAGCATCATTTCTACTGCATGCGATTGCCCAAAAGTAAGTCAGAGGACAGTGCCAGTTCAAAAGGAGGGCACTTCTCGAGGACAGGGATGTGAGAGGTTCATTTGGAGGCCATCTTTGGGGACCATCTGCCACAAATCTAATCTGAAACTCAGACCAGGAAAGACAAATGAAAACTCAGAAACCTTAAGTATTTCTGGGAACAATACAAGGTAAAAATAAATACTTAATGTAAATATATATGTTTAAATAAAATACTTTCAATAGGGCTTTGGGCCTCAGCCGTGTATCATATTCTACAGCATGCAAGTCATTGGGGTAAATCTATAACACTAGGGGACAAGCTAACATTTGTGAGTCTCTACAAAAGACAAGACACTTGAGCATTTTAGAGAGTGGCTGAATCATCTGGAGATATCTGTAGGAAACATTTGCCCCGTGGTGGGGCAGCACTTACCGCATTTGGTACAGAGTATAAGAATGTTCAACACTGTTATTTATAAAAACAAAAAATTAGGGCCAGCCCCGGTGGCCTAGTGGTTAAGTTTGGTGCACTCCTCTTCGGCAGCCCAGGTTTGGTTCCTGGGCGTGGACCTACACCACTTGTCAGTGGCCATGCTGGTGGCTGCTCACATATGAAAAAAGAGGAAGATTGGCTACAGATGTTAGTTCAGGGTGAATCTTCCTCAGCAATAAACACATAAATAAATAAATAAATAAATAAATAAAATTAGGAGCGCCCTTTGGTATCCAATGTAACCACAGTGGACCATTATGCAACATTACACACTGCTTCATGAATTTTAATGGCAAAAGGCCTAACAAATTGTTAGGTGAAAAAAGCATCAACAGGCAAAACTTTGCATAAAACCTGGTTCCCATTATGTTCCAATATGAACACGCATAGAACAAAGACTATAAGGGTATACATCAAAGCTTCAACAGTGACTATAGCCACATAGCAGAATCAGGGGAAATGTTTTAGTTTTCTTCTTTGTGCTTTCTGTACTTTAGCCGGCACGTACTACTTCGATAATCAGAAAATGAAATTAAGAGTTAGATGAAACTCCACCGGGAAGCTGTGGCTGCAGCGTGGTCCCATGGGCCCCCCAAGGCTTTTGCCCGGGGCTTTCAGAGATCAATATAATTATCCCTGAGGCCTTCTCAGCGACTACCTTAGACCCACAACTGGATGGACTCACAGAAGTTTCTTAACTTCTCTAGACTTTGGTTATCTACTCTATAAAATTAGGGGGTTGAACAATAAGATTGAATCAAGAACTTCAGAATTTACAAGCATTTCCCCTATCCTATAGATCACCACAATAGCCCGATGGCGGAAGCAAGTCCAATCTTCTCATCATGTGACATTTGACCCATGAGGGTACAGAGGCTCAGCAAGGTAAGGTCACTAGCCCAGGGCCACAGGAATGGTTAAGTAGTGGTCAGGATTTGAAACTATGTCTTCAGGCTTTACCCCTGGGGCCCTAGCTGCTAAATCAGCGTTCCTTTCCCATATGGATTGGAAACTCCTACCCTATGTAAAATTCCAGCCAAAATTTCCACCTTCTGCGGCCACATATATTAAAACTAATGTCTCTTCCTCATTTCCGTATTCCAAGGACCTTGGGGGCAGCTCTCCTGTCTCCTCTGAGTCATACCCGTCTTCAGTTCTGTCTGTTCTTCCTCAGATGGCATTGTTCCGGGGCCACACACCATTTTAGAATCTTAGAATTTCAGAATTAGAAAAGATCTTTAAAGGTCATTTGGCCTAACCAGCTCCTGTCAGCCTTTTACAGACACCTTCTCATCTCAAAACTATGTCCTTCAACAATGCCCCAGAGGGGGTGCTGGGGGCCGGAACAGGGTGATAAAGGTGCCCTTCCCCCCACTGAGCCAGCGGACATCTGCCAGGTTGCCTCAATTCAAAGAGGGAATGTCGAGGCTGCGAAGTGCAAGGCAGCGTGACTCAGCCTTTTCACGGGGACGTGGCGCACAATGGAAAGATCCGAGAGTTCCAAGGGAAAGAAAACCAGAAAGGCCAAGACGACCCACACACAGAGAAAGCCAGCTTAGAACAAACCCCAAGGGCCAACAAGAAACCAGTGGAAAAGCAAAAAATCTCTCTCCTGAGAGGGCTCTATTGTGTGCGCTCTGGGTCAAAAGAGGGGCTCCCCCACCTGCTGGGACTCTCCAGAATGAGTTCTTTTTCTTCTGTCTGGGTTCAGCAAACTTCCTGCTTCCTCTGTCGCAGGGCGGGGAGCCCCTTCTGCAGCGGTCAGCCAGGGCGATGGGGCTTGGCAGCGGTGATGGCAGCTTGCTGGGCACTGGCACCAAGTTACTTAGCCAATACCACAGCTTTGATAATTTCTTGCTTCCCTAGTCATTTAGGATTCTTTCCATCTATATCAAGAAAAAGAAGTTACACTTCCTTCTGCCCACAAATTCAGATGCTTTTATTTTGTGGAGGCCTCATAGAAAGAGATGCCTATTTCTAATATCAACCCATTGAGTGATATATTTTAAACAGATGGCAAGCAAAATATTTAAAAAGTCCCCTCCCCACCAAAACTTCAATGAAAGCTTTGTTGATATAGACATTCAAAAAGCAAAACTTTCTTCTGATAGAAATGGAAACACTTTATGTTGGAATCTCTTTTAACCAAAATGGCTTATATACGTGAAAAACTCGAGTACAAAAACCTTACAATTGGTTTCCCCTCCAAGTAAAATCCTTTTGTGTTAATAAATGTGCCTCCATTATGTCCAATTTTACGGAGCTCACAAAGAGATCCTCTGAGATCACATACTTTCATTTCTGGGATTCCATGAAATCATTTCATACAAGGAAAGGAATTCTTATTAGATATGTATGAACTGTAAACCTCGGCCTTCAGAAGTTTATTTCGCTCCACCCCATCTGACGTCAGAGCCCCTCTAAGGCTGTCCTGAGTTAACTGTGTGCCAGGCTGGTGCATGCTAGGAATTTGAATAACATTCTCCTTTAATGCTCACAATAGCCATATGAGAGAAGTGTAGTCTCCATTTTCAAAGGATGAATCCAAGTTGAAAGGTCAAGAAATTTGTCCAAGTTCACAGAGCTGGTTAACAGGAAAGCAGGGCAGAAAGACTCCTGAGGCCTTCTCCTTAGATGGTCAACCAGCCACTGCTCAAAGCCCTCACTGGTCAGAAACTCACCTCCCTAGACAACCTGTTCCAGTTTGAGGCCATTTTTGTTGTTTTAGAGAGTTCTTCCTTGTAGTGAGCTGAAGCCTGCCTCTGTGTGACATCCAACAATCAGTGTGATTCCATACTTGGGGCAGGAACCAGACCTGTCATTGAGGATGTCACACAGAGGGCATTCTAGGAGGTGTGAACTGGTGACTCACTTACTAGGAAGTATTGTTCCAAGCTCCGGGTCAGAAGAAGTTGAGGGTAGCCTACAAGGAAGTATCATCCTCGGGCAGTGTTGCGCCAAGCCCACAGCTTCCGCACGGCCAGGGATAAGGAACTGTGGGTTTCGAGAAGTTCTGGGGGACCGTTGACACAGGAGGGAGAAGCAGCAGACCATAACCCCCACACCACAGGCTCATTCACAGGAAGACAGTCAACTCGGGAGAAAGACACATGCTCTGATCAGACATAAGCTCAAGAACCCACCCTGCATTTGTCTGCAAGCCATTTCCTGGTTCTTGGATGGCAGTGACCTGGAAATAGGGGCCACAGGGGTCATGATTCTAGAAAGGTGCATGGAGGCATGCCAAGTTCCACAGCCACGTACGCACTCCACCTGCACAGCCCTTTGTATGTACCTCTTCACCACGTGGTCTCATTGTGAGCTGTTTGCATCAGTCTCTCCTCTGGGCTGTGACCTTGTAGCGTGGAGGTTAGCAAACCATGGCTCAAAGGCAAAGCTGTCCCACCGCCTGTTTTTGTAAAGGAAGTTTGTTGGAACACAGTCGCGCCCGTTCCTTTTTGTATGGTCTCTGGCTGCTGTCTCTACAACTGCAGAGTGGAGCAGTTCTCACAGAGACTGGACGGACCACAAAGCCTAAAATATTGACCATCTGTCCCTTTACAGAAAAAGTTTGCCAACCCCCGTTCTAGAAAGCAAGAGCAGGATCTTGTTCATCTCCATAGCCCCAAAGTTATAGCCATACTTCCTCTATATGTAAAATAGCAATGATACCTCTGTCGTAGACATGTAGTGAAGTATAAAGGAGACATCATATTTGGGAAGAACATATGTAAAATACCTAGCCCAGTGCTTGGCACAGGACAGATACTCAATAAGTATTTAGTGAGTAAGTGAACGAGGTTGAAGGTCAATCCACTCGAAATGATGGATATGAAAGCACTTCACAAACCGTAAAATGCTCTATGAGAGCATGGTGGGTTATCATCATCATTGTCAAATACAGAAATATTCTGGAGCAAAGCCTGCCCTCCCCTCCGGCTTCCGGGATCTTGATTTTATGAGTAAGATCTCACAGACAGTCTTAATTTAGGCTGATTCATATGCCATTTTTCCCATGATCCTCTCCATCCCTCTCTCTTGACACCCTCTTCTAGGTATGGATCCTTCGCTTAGGTCTTAAGATCCTTAAATAAGAGCTACTAAATATTGATTGCTGTGGTGGTTTTGTACTGGACCAGCCTAGCTAAGCTCAGATGACATTTCCCAGATTTCCCTTCTTTCTATGGCCTTCCTTCCAGTTGGGCACAAGAGAAATTGGCATGAGATTTGGAAGGCAGAGAGAGGGCACAGTGATTCCACTTGCAGATCAAGGCAGGACCACAGGGACCCATCACGGCTCAAGCATGCACATTGTCACTGGTCTGCTCGCTCATCTCTTTGAGGTGGGGAAAGGAGCCCATTCTGCAGTCTCTCCAGCTTCTGCTGAGTCCTGGGTCAGGCATGCGTGCAGCTTGATGGTGGATGGCACAAGCTTCTTCTGTAGGCTGCCCACATTGTCAGGGTTAGATGTGGTGAGAGAAAGACATGGGTTCTGCATTGTCCTTGCTCTCTCCTCCTTCAGATCCAGCTTGTCTTCCTGAGTGGCTGCCCGGCAGCTACCTCAGAACTACCAGGAGGCACAGAAGCAAGATGCTCCCCCCAAATTCGTCGCCAGTTGACCTTTGTGATCCCTGGTTTGTAACTCTTCTCTTCCAGACCTTTACTTCCACAGCTTCTCTCACAATTGTGTAAAGTCTAATCCCTATAAGAAATGCTTTATTTTGTATCATTGAGAGTGGCTCTGCTTCCCTGATTAGACCATGCGGAAGAGACTCTAAAGGATGAGTTCTCTGAATTAGTTCTGAAATTGTTTTCTGGAATGGATCCTCTGGTCTGATTATATTTAAAGGAAGTAATGATTCTGATGCTAGTGATAAAGGGGACACCGGTAGTCCATGGTATTCAGAGGCAAAACAGCTACTTAAATTATCACCTGTAACTCCTGTAATTAAGCGCCTATAGAAGGCAAGACTTTGGATGACCAAGTAGTTGCTACTGTGGAACATTTTAGTAAAAAGAAGGAGGAGAAAGGAATTGGTAGGTAGCTTGTAAGTGTGCTGGAGAACTTAGAGAAAGAAAATTATGACCTTAGAGCTTCAAGTCCCCAATTCAAGGTCTGGCTAAGGAAAACCCATAGCTGCTATGGCTACAGGGCCAAGATTTCTCAAAATGACACCCAAAGTCTAATCTTGGGCTGAAGAATGCAAATGGAAATCGTGACCTCGCAGGGTCTCTTGTGTTAGAGCATTGATTGGGAAGAAGCGGAACCCTGAAGACGGAGATAGAGACATACGGGCAAACTCACATAAAGCTGGGTTTGGCTCTGAATTTTGCTGAGGCTCCCTGGCCAGTAGTAGCAGCACTTCCTCCCTCACTGAAGAGCTCAGTCTCCCCTCTTCTGACGAAAATTGCATTGGACCTGGACCAGGACCAAGAACCTAAGGGGCCTTGCAGGAAACTCCTGATTCTCCTCAGGACCTGTCTCTACCCTCTCTCATCACTTCTAGACCTATGACTAAACTCAAACTTCAGCAGGCCCCAGAGGTTATGGATTAAAATATGATCCATGTGAAAATGTCATCTATAATAAAGGAATTGCAGAGTTTTGTCAATTTATATTCACAGAGAACTGAGGAGCATGCTTAGAAACGGATCTTACTGATGTTGAATCAGGGTGGAAGGAATAAAGGGCTGGATCAGGCCGTGTATGTCAATAGAGGTATGCTGAGCAGAGATTCTGAACTCAGTGTGTTACTTCAAGTAGCTTAGAGTGGCTCTACCAGTTTTCTCGTTTCATTGAACTAAAACCTAGGCCTAATGGTGGCTTATACCTAGTGTAATTGAAATACTAGAACTTTCTTGATATAATGTAGAAGGTAGCCAAAGACTTAAGGAAATCAGAACTCTGGAGTAGACTTATTATATGAGACTTGCTTACCCACTTTCTAATTACGTCCCCAGGAGGGACCAGAGGATATTCCCTTTACCAAAGCCTTATGATATGGTATGCATACCACAAGGTGAGCCCCAGTATCTTTGAAGAGCCTAGGATAGCTAATAACTACAGGCCAGGAATGACATTGGTACTGCTGTCATTGAAAGGGGCCCCACAAATTCATGGAGATTATGGGATGTCCGGGTGGCAGAAGCCAAGTGTAAGATACTTAATCACCAGAGACAAGGTGGTTACTGTAATAGACAGCAGAGTCAAAGCATTAATCAGAATGGTTTGACCTGTAGAGAGCTCTTCGGCATTGGCTAATTGATCATGGTGACCTGAAAACTGAAATTGATGGGTGGCCTACTCAAGTCTTACTTGATTTATATAAATTGAAAAGCTCTAGTTCTGGTGAATAGAGGTGACTTGATCACAGTAAAAATTATAGCCCCGCAATCAGTTCCCAGACTCGAACCAGTTCTCAGTGCCATGGTCATTTGAGTGAAAGAGAGAGTAGATCCTGTAAGGAAGGAACTGTTACTCAGCCCAAAATTTATACAATAAATCTTCTTTATAGCTTTCCCCAAAGGTACCTGAAGATATTTGCCTGTGTGACTTTGTATTGGTGAAAGGAAAATTCTGGGCATTAGCTCTGAACTAATTTCAAGAGACTGAAAATGTCCCTGTGTCCACACTTAGAACAGGGTCTTAAGGAGGTCAAGTGATCCATGGAGTTTTGTCTTGGGTCCATCCCATAGTGGGCTCAGTGTGTCCCCAAATACCCAGTTCCAGAATTGACCATTTTAAGAAATGACATACTCAGAAACTAATAAATGCTCACATCATTTTCCTTATTCACACAGCAAGGGCTATTACAATAGGAAAAGCTAAGTGGAAGCCAGTGGAATCACTTCTACTTATAAAAGATTAAATTACAGAAATACCTATTTCTGGAGGCATTGCAGAAATTAGTGCCCCCATCGTGGACTTGAAAGATGCAGAGACGGTGAATCTCACCATATCCCCATTCAGCTTGCTTATTTGGCCTGATAAGTGGATCTTGGAGAATCACAGTGGATTATTATAAACTTAATTGGTGACAACTCCAATTAAAGTTCCTTTTCCACATGTGGTTTGGTTGCTGAAGAAAATCAACATAACCTCTGGCAGCTATTGGTCCAGCAAATGCTTTCTTTCTCTATACCTCTTAAAAAAAGACCACCAGGACCAGTTTGCTTTCAGCTAGCAGGACTGGCAATAGGCCTTCACTGTCCTGCCTAAGGGCTATATTAACCCCCAAATCTACTGTCATAATCGAATCCAGAGACCTTGACAGCCTTTCCACTCCACGGGATCTTCTACAGACCTACTGTGCCGATGATATCATGCTCATTGTTTCTGGTGAGCAGGAAATAACAGCTATTCTGAAGACCTTGGTAAGAAAAATGCAAGCAGATGGAGGAAAAGGAATCTTACAAAAGATCAGGGACCAGCTATTTTGGTGAAATTTCTGAGTCCGGTGATCAGGGCATGTTGAGATATTCTATCCAAAGTGAAGGAGAAATTGCAGCATCTGGTCTCTCTTACCACTGGGGAAATGGCAGAATGCCCAGCACACCTCTGGATTTTGGAGGCAACGGTACTTCATTTGAGCATGCTACCTCATCTCACTCACTGAGTAACCCGAAGGCTGCCACTTTTGAGTGGGGTCCGGAAAAAGAGAAGACATTGCAACAGATCCAGCCTGTCAATCAAGCTGCTCTGACACCTGAATGGAACGTATGATTCAACACATCCATTTGTGCCAGAAATGTCTGTGTGTGGCAGATAAGGAAGGCATATGGAAACTTCAGCAGGTCCCAATAGGTAAGTCACAGCATAGACCTTTAAGATTTGAATGCAAAATTATGCCACGCTCTGCAGATAATTATTCTCCCTCTAAGAAAGCTTCTACCTTGCTATTAGGCCTAATAGATACAGAATGCCTTCTACAGGCCACCGAGTTACCATGAGACCTGAGCTGACCATTATGAACTGAGTTTTGTCCTTGTGAGTTCCAGTTTGTCCTTGCTCTCTTCTGCTACATGTCCGGGGTTTCTTCCCAACTGCCTTTCCTGGTGACCTATTATAACTCCAAGCCACCACCAATGCAGAGCCTTATGCAGATTTCTTTACCAGCATCATTTTGTGGTCCTTAGTGGGTGACTTTTCTCCAATCCTCCAATTGTCACCTTTCAGAGAGTCACTTCTCCAGCTTTCATCACAATTGTGATGGTCAAATTCCTGCAATAGATCCTTTATTCTATTTCACTCATGGTAGTTCTGCTTTCCTCATCAAACCCAAATTGATATAACAGCCTATTTACGTACATGGTTGCATTTACTTTCACAACAGCTCTGCCTGATAGATTTAATCCCCCAAGTTTTACCAATGAAGAGGCTGAGAACTGAACCTGCCAAGGGTCTCATTCTGAGAGCACTGGAATCAGATCCCACCCATGTGCCACATTGCCACCTTTGGGGCTCGGGAGGAGCATAAGGTCTTTGCCAAGGTGCATCCAGGTCCACCCTTGGGTGTTTGGTTTAGGTTGTTTTCACGGGCTCCTTGGTCAACCCAGCCAGTAAGACTTTGGGATCTGCCCATTCAAGTGCTCTCCTCTCCCTGTGCCCTGTTTGGGTGAATATTAAATATTAAAACATGTTTAAATTATGAAATAGTTCAAATATACAGAAAAATCCAAAAAATAATATAGCAGACGTTCTTGTACTCAACATCCAAAAATTGCCATATTTCCTTCATCTTAATTTTATTTCATATCTTAAAAAACATAAAAACAAAAAAAATGTTTGTTTCAGCATTCTTTACAAATATCCACCAATATAGGTGGATATTTGGATATAGGAATTGATAAATAAATGTGATGTTCAAATGCAAATAAACACCAGATAGTAATTAAAATTAATAAATTAATAAGCTAGATCAATATTTTAAGGGGAAAAGCCAAATTGTAAATGAAAAGAACAATATAATAGCATTTATGTACATTTTTAGAACCACCAGACCCATACCAATACAGCCATGCACCACTAATGACATTTTGGTCAAAGATGGACCCCATATACAATGGTGGCCCCATAAGACTAGTACCATACAGCCTAGGTGTGTAGTAGGCTATACCATCTAGGTTTGTGTAAGTACACTCCATGAGGTTTGCACAACTACAAAATTGCCTAATGACGCATTTCTCTGAACATCGCCTTGTATATGGTTCCAAAATCTGAAATCCTTTTCCAGAGCTGTTCCCTCAGGGCTTCCACCCTGCCTCAATGAACCCTTGATTCTCTCCATCCCCATGTCTGTTTCCATCTCAAAGACTTTTCTGAAATACTATTTTATCTCCTTACAACCCCACCTCTTGGCACCAACAACCCACCCACATCAGCCTGTTTCTGTAACTCCATTCAGAGATTTACAATAATCTTTTGCATGTTAAAGCATAATTACAGGCCTTCCCTTGAAAAAGGAACTCACTGTACTTATTTACAAAGAGCTCTTTAAACCTGAAATTGATCTGGTACTCATCCACCTCTGGTTATTTGTCTCCGATACCCTTCAAACCTCTGTTAGTCATAAAACATATGAAAAAGATTGGCGATACCAGATTTCGGTGAGTATGGAGGGAGGTGGGAATTCTTGGGCCTTGCCAGCGGAAGTGTAGACTGGGGGAACCACTTTGGAAGACTGTTTAGCAGTATCTACTAAAGATAAAGGTACACCTACTTTTTATGACCCAGCTATTCCACTCTCGGGAAAATTCCAACAGAAGTGTGTGCACATGGATAAGAATGTTGCCAGCAGTACCATTCAGAATAGCCTCAACATAGAACAACACAAACGCCTACTAGAAGTCAAATGGATAAGCAAATTGTGGTATATTCTTATAGCATGGTGGTGAAAATATGCAAACCGCAGGCTCACATCATAGTGTGTGTGTGTCGTTCCTGACGTTGAGAAAGGGGAGCCAGACACAAGAGTACATGCATATGATTCCAGAATATGGAGATCACAGACAATCAAAATGAAATCTTGGTGTCCAGGGACCAGGATGCCTAGGTGGTGGGAGGAGAGAAAATCAGGGAGGCAGTTGCCATAAAAGTCAAGACAAAAGCTATTTTTGGTGAGAAGAGGTGTGACAGGAAGGGGCAATGGGTGCTAATGACATTCTGTTGCTTGACCTGAGTGGTGGTTATGCAAATATTCACTTTATAATGGTCTGTTTTGCTGTATGTTTTATGGACGTTTACGTATGTATGCTGTTTAACGGTTTTTAAAACCCCACGTATCACAGCCCTCTTATAATTTGACAGTGAGAATGCAAAGGAGGATTTGCAGGATTCTTTTGAGAAACCGCAAATCCTCAAATGCCATTCTGGCAGTGATTTCCCCTGTAAAACTTCCATTTTCTGCCTAAGAAACAACTCTTTCTTAGACCTCTTTGCTTTTAAAAGAGGCAGGTGTTTTTTTGCAAAAAAATGATTTTATCACTTAACAGAATTGTCATATGTGTTACCAGATGGAGAGCCAGAATGGGTGGAGTGAGCCCCACCCTCCTGAGCAAAGTGACCCACTGGGCACACCCTCTTCACAGTGCACTCGGTTCAAATTCCAAGTCACAGACCCTCGGGAACCCTGGGGGAATAACTGATACCAAAAAGTGCTCGGCCTCTCAACAGAATGATAGCCAACAGATTTACTGTGCAATTTGTTCATTCCCTTTGACAGAGGAGGAAACTGAGGCATGAGAAGTTGGTCAATTTCCTAGATAGAAATTTCCTAGAAAACCCAGATGTTGGACAGAGGCCCTCTGACTCGAGAGCCTGTGTGAATAACCACCAACCATCCTACCACCCCTCAAACACTGTCTAAATTGGGGATCAGCACATATTTGGGCATCTTTCAATTCTCCCTCTTCCCACGGTCAAACAATCAATTATTTTTCTTTTCCAAAATATCTTTTGATTCTGTCCTTGACTTTTCATTTCCTCAGCCTATGGTTGGCCAACCTAATTCCTCACCTGATTTATTGCAAAAACCTTTTACTTGTTCTATCTACGTCCACTTCCTTTCTCTTGGCTCCAAGTCTTCTTGATGGCTGTCCATTGCCTGCCCTGTCAAGTCCAGACCCTCCCCATAACTTAGAGCGCCTTTCATGGCATGGCCCCTGCCTTTTCCTCAAGTCTCATCTCCTATTCATTTCTTTGCATATCTACCTGCTAGTGACCCAAGACTATTTACTGTGCCCCCATGCACCAGGAAAGTTCCAATCACAGTGCTGTTCTCTGACAGCCCATCCCCCTGCTCCCCCCACCTCTCCAGTCCTATTCATCCTTCAAGACCCAGTGCAAATGCCAGCTCCTCTGGGAAGCATTCCCTGATGCCTTCCAGCCAGAGTCTATCTCCCTCATTTCTCTGCATCTCTCTTGTCATCTTGGTCACAGTCTGCCCTGGCTGATATTTGCACAGCTGTCGTCCCCACTAAACTGTAAACTCTTGAGAACAGGGATTGTGTTATTTACCTTCTGATCCCCAAAGTCTGGCATGGAGCCAGTCAGAGACTAGCTATTCAGTTAGAATAACTGGATCTATATCACCCACTTAAGTCTGTATCCAGTGGTAAGGACTTACACGGCACTATGACATTCTCTTGTCCTGACATTCTGGCCTGATTCCTCCCAGAGCAAAATGGCTAAAGCAGCAGTCAGGTGGATAGAGGCTTTTCCCAGCCAAAAGGAGACAACTGATACTGGAACAGCACAGAGGACTATTCATTTGGGGTGCAAGTCTGGCTGGACGCCCACTTGAAACAGACTTTCCTTGCCCCAGTCTGGGACTCCAAAGACTCCGCCAAGGTGAATCAGGACAAGGAGAAGTGGAAAATTCCTCATTCACATTGCAGAGAGAAACTTGAACCAGAAATCAATGTTTCAGACCCAGCCTGTCTCGTTTTCCCAGACAGGACTCTCAGATTCTACGGTCTGCCCTGAAAGGAGCTGTAGCAGGAACAGCGCAAAGCTGCTGTAAAGACTTTCATGTGGCTTTCGCTGCTAGAAAACACCATCCCCCTCCGGACGCCTTCAGAACACAGATTCATTGAGAATCTGTCTTTCCTTACAGGCAGGGCATGGGGACTATTTTTCAAGGGAAAGCACATGCATAATTGCTGGAGAAATATACATGTTTAATTTCCCTTAAACCCTTGAAGGTTTCTTCCTTAAGTAAATCATCCTGCAAGATCCTGTGACCTGAGACCCAGAAGTGGTTTCGTCCTGGCCCCAAGCCGTAGCCTCCTGAGAGAGGGAGTCTGTCCCGTTTGGACGCCCACGTGAACACACAAGATGCTGCCTTGTTCTTACCCAAATGGGCGGACCAGATGGAGTTGCTAGAGTCTATTATCTGTAGACCTTTTCAAGAGCTGAGCAGGAACCTGACCACCTGCCTGCCTTGTAAATTAAAAGGCATGGAAACAACTACGTTGAGAGAGAGAATGAGGCCTGTAAGCTTGGGCAAAGAGATGACATGGAAGCCCCCGAGAAGCCCAGGGTCATAGTTGACAGGGACAGTAGGGATGTCTTTGACAAACCTCTCAAGTTACAGAGCAGATCACGGACATCCACAGAGGAAACTCCTGTCAGCAGGGTTTCCCCAGGACTGCTTGTATAAGATCCCCTGGGAAACTGGTCACAAATGCCACTTCTGGCCCATCCCAGACTCAGGGCCTCTGGGGACGCCCCCAGGAACCAGGGTTTTAACCAGCTTCCCATGGGATTCTAATGTGCCCTGAAGTTTGGGGACCTGTACTAAGTGCTCTGACCTTTCTTCTTAGACGTGGCTTGGGTCCAACCTCCTCACAGACCTCAGCTGCTCTTTCTTCTGGCTCTGTTTGCCTGTGCCTCCATCTGCCATCAGTCCATCCTGGGCTTTCTTGCCTCCAGACCACTTTTCTCCCCTTAGAACGCTCTCCTCCCCAGCCCCCCAACTAAGGCTCCTGGCATCACAAGCTGCCAGTATCACCCCCATCTAACTCCAGGCTGGACAGGGCCCCAGAGAGGATCTAATGCCTCCTCCTCCCGGACCCTTCTTCCATACCTGTTCCTTCCTCTCTTTCCCCTTGTGTATGAAGTGATGACATTACTCATGGAAGCAACAGCACCTGCTGTGTCTGGAAGCCGGAAGCACTGTGTGGTCTCAAGACGGGTCTGTAAGATGATAAGGGCTTTCAAATTTGGAGACTTACTCAAGGCTTATTATAAATAGAGTCTTTAGATTATTTAAAAAGAAACAACCATTTTGCCAAACGTCTTTGTAGACTTCTGGTGTGTATGGCTTAGAGCATTGCTAAATTCATGCAATGAAGCTTTTGTTGTTATAATCTGTACCCTCCACCCACCCAGTTCCAGCCATCGGGCGTCAGTTTAAGTGAAGGTCATTTTGAAATTCCTTCGTGAATGAGCGATATTTACTTGAAGGCGGGCCTGTCTAGCCTTACAGGAAGCAGGGAAGGCCAATGGAAGCACAGGGCTGTGGTAACCCCGGCCACATTCCTGCTTTACCTCTTAAAGCTGTCGGACCTGGAGAACTTTCCTAGTCCTGCCTAGAGCTTCAGTTCTCTCATCTGAAAAGGGCTTGTCAGATCTACCTCACTGATGAGGTATTGGAAAGTCTAAAAGCGATGGGCCTGGTGCTGACACATAGTGAACATCCCTCTCCTGTTCCTTAACTTCACAAACCGCTATTTTGTTCCATGAGCTGCAAAATTTCTAGGCCTAGTTTTCTGTAATCTAAGACTCTTCCCGGGAGTGAGAGGGCCCTTCTGGAAAGAATTGTAAGTTGTTGAAGAGAGAAGAGTAGTTTCTGAGTCGTTATCATTGAAACAACAATATCTCACATAAGCACTTGGGATGCTGTCAGTCATGGCGACTGCCTTGAGAAGGTTAGGGACCAAGTTACCTGAGCTAGACTAGATTCTTCCCCTTCTTATGATTCTGTGATAACAAATTTGACTTGGCATGCAAGGTCCCTCAGAATCAAATCAAACCTGTCTTATAGACTCATCTAACACTTCCTCTAAACCCCATAATTCTTCCAAGCCATGCAGTTTACTATGTCCATGAATATCATACCCCTTCCTGCCACCAGACTTCTGATTCTTGTACTTTCCACTCCTCCTTCCTCTTTCCAGTGTTAAATTCCACCCATCCTTGAAGGGCCTCTTCCATCAACTCCTCCTGCTTCCCCAGCTGTAGCCCACCCCAGCCTTCCATCTGCACTTCTCTTACAGTGCTAATATTAAACCACTTTGTGTTCTAGGTGTGTGGGGACACAGTTTTCTAGACTGGGGACTCTCTGAGGACAGAGAGTGGGTCTCAGTCTTTCTCAGAATGCCCCCAGCACCTGGCACATGGAAGTTGTTCAAGAATGTTTACTCAGTTGAGCCAAGGCATTCCAATGATTAATTTACATACACTAAATCTTTCTTTGGTTTTAGTATCTTTCTTACTTAGGGCATGTTGGCAACAAGGATCAGGTTCTCTCTCAAACAGTTTCAAATGAAAAGAAGGGTTACTGAAAGGATACAGGGACTGTCGGTGGCCTCCAAGGACAGGAAGTGAGTAACGTTGGGTCACAAGAAAACAGAAAAGTCTTCTCTCTCTGCCCTTCAAGGGCTGCAGGATCTCCGTCTCTAACTCTTTCTGCATGTCAACGCCATTCTCCTCATGGCACACTGAACCTCTCGGTAAGACTCTTATTTCTCTCTCTTGCATAATTTAGGCTTCCTGTGGCTCTTGCTTTGTCATACGCAGTATTAGCTACTGTCCTGATGTCTCAGGACCTTTCAGTTCAAGCGTATTCTCCATACTCTTAGCTCAAATTCTCTCAAGAAACAAGCTGATTGGGGGTTGGCACAGACTGTGGCCCAATGCCATGTATCCATTCTCAGACCAGTCAACTGAGGAGGAGCAGTGGTACATGATACCACGATGACTTCCCGGGTCCACCCTTTCAGGAGGAAGGGAGTTTTGGGGGGGGGGGGGCGGTTGCATTGCTTCGTAGTAATTAGTTGGATTGTCATCCCTAAATGAATCTAATACAACAATGTCTACAAAAAGCAGTGAAGGATACAGAGACTACAATATGGATCTACAAGTCTAAGTGTTGACTGTTTCCCAGTGGTTTCACGGGAGGCACTTGTAGGCTGCCAAACATGGGTCTCTGGGGTCTGTGGGAATTGAGGGCTAGATGCAGGTTGGCTCAATCTCCCTTAGAATCTTCTACTTAAATTTGCATTTCCTTTCAAAGAGATAAATCAATGGAGTGGACAAGCCTAACTAGATGGATTTTTCTGCTCTGCTCTGCCAGTAATGTGTAGAGGTGATGCTGGAGTGGACAGGATAAGGAACTAGGGAAAAAGGTAGAGAATAAAGATGGAGGACATGGATCCAAGGATCCAGGTGCAAGTCCACTAAGTCATGTAGAAGGCACCAGAGGAGGAAACTGAATGTCAAAGCAGGTTCAGGCTGATGTCTCTGGTTGATGCTTGGGCACTATACTTGCCTTCCTTCTGGATCATTGCCTTCAGCCTAAGACATGCTGTAGTATCCCTTGTCTTAAAAGAACCCTCAGCTAACCTCCTTTCACCCATCTCGGTTTCCTATTCAACTGATGATGATTCTCAAATTCCTCCTCCCTCTGGGAGAGCTGCCTACAGAACACGAGGATCAGTTCAATGCCGCAGAGATTTGGTCAGGCCCAGAGGATGGTGCTTTACATCCTTGGGGAGACTCTTACCCACCATTCAAAGCCCCATTTAAAAGTCTCCTCTTCTAGGAAGCCTTCCCTGACTTCACAGTCAGAACAAACCTCTCTGTCCTCTGGACTCCAGTAGGCCCCTGTTCCTCTCATGAAAGTAACACTTCTTGGGCTCTATTGGGTCTCACTGACAATCCTGGCTGCTCCCTGGTGGCAAGAACCACATCTCCCTCATCTTTGTGGTGCTTGACACTCACCAGCCTTTGAGGATTGGTTGAAGGAAGACCTGGATTCTTTCTTCCCACTTACTCTTTATGGGATATTAGGCAAGACTCAATTTCCCTCAAGCTTAGTAGGCTCATCTCTAAAACAGGGGCAGAAATTATCTTCACCCCACCTCCTCAAATCCAATGAGACTATTGATGGTGAAAGGTTTGCAAGTCCTAAGGAACTGCAGGAGTGTGGGGATTATCCTTGATGCTTACTGCATTGTTCTCAGGACAGTCTGCTGACTTGGCCCAAGATGTAACGTCATTACATCCATGTAGGTTTTGGTTTCAAGGGTCTGATTACAAATCGTGAGTTGGCTTTGACCCCGAAGATTGATGCCAGCTGCACCCTCTCTTGCTGTGTGGATCCCTCCTCAGTCCTGGGCAATGGCCTCACCATAGCACCTGTAGTTTCACATGAGGAGCCTAAAAATTGTCAAAGGAAGGACAGAATTAGAGCCATTTTCTTAGGCTTCCTGTAGGGTTTGTTTTAGTCCCCACCCACAGGGCAGTGGTGTATGAAGCAACTTCCTTTCTCAAGCCCTTCATTCATTCATTCACTCACTCATTCAGCGCCCTCCTCATGTAAGCAAGCAGGAATCGCAGAGTCTGGGGTGGGGCTGCTCTGACAGGGCTTTGCAGAAGTTCTCCAAATTGTGCAGAGGAGGAGCGCCAATGCCAGATGCCAGGGAGAAGCTTCCTGCAGGAGGTGACACCCCAGCTGACTCAGAGACCCTTGAGGACAAGTTGCTCAGCCTGGCTGGAGTGTAAAGTGTAAGGGGTACGTGAGCAGAGATAAAGCCAGAGCAGGAGGCAGGAGCCAGACCAGGAAGGATCTTAGGAGCTGTGACTTGGGACCTGCTTGGAAAGATGCCTGAAATTCTACGGGTAAAACTTGCTGAAGGTGATGCAGTTAACCTGCGGAAGAACCCATCTCCAGGCTCCTAGTCCAGTGCTCACTGGCTCCTTCACTATTCATTAAGCACCCCTGGGGCTGCTGCCTCTGGCTACACACCAGCCCGAGCTTTGGCCAGGCCGCCAAGTGCGAGGAGCCCAAGCCCTGAGCCAAGCCTGTGAAGATGCCTTCAAACACAGGTTCTGCTGCTGCTGCTGACAAGGCATCTGAGCTGGAACCAAAGACCAGCGGGAGGCCGGCAGCCCACGTCTCTCCCCAAGCCATATGGGCCCTTTCCTTCCGTGGTTAATTTTCACTTTTCCTAAAGATGGGTTCGTTTAGGGGGCGGGGAGCAGAGCAACGCCTGATGGGGAGCACATGCCACCCCCAGAGCGGGTGCTTTGATCCTCGCCGAGGCCAGGCTGCAACATCTTGGTCCCTGCGCCAACCGCTGTCCTGGCGAGGCTCCAGGCGTGGGTGGCCTCGCGTGCAGGGAGCCCCGCCGCCCCCGCCACACGAAAGGCGGGACTGGAGCTGTCTCCTCCCGGAGGGGCGACGCTGGAGCGCAGCCCGGCAGACGCACACTCGGCTTCCAGCTAGGATCCTGGGAGCCACACAAAGGAAATGGCAAGATCGTGAGTCACCCCGAGGCCCGGCTGCTGCCTGGGCTGCAGGCCCACAACAGGACCTTTGTGCCGCGCTCCAGGAGGACGAGGGGGCCGTGCTGCAGAGAGGCAGACATTTCAGGGCGCTGAGTAATGCTCCGAGAGGGGAGGCATCGCCGCCGGCAGCGGGACTGGCTCCTGGGCGCCCACCACAACGCCAAGGGACCCAGGCGCCGCTTAGAGGGAGCCCCCTGCCGCCATCTTGTCACACCGCTTGTCCCTGGTGAGGGTACATCCTATTTTGTGGAGGTCTGTCTCCTTCACCGTGGTGTGAAGGGCTTGAAGCCTGGGGCATGTCCATTCAACTCTGTCTTCTTAACGCTGTAGCTAAGGCAGCACTGAGAAGTTGCTGAGAGTTTGTGCGATGGGTGGATGGGTGGATGGGTGGATGGATGGATGGATGGAATGACTCATTCACGCAAGTACAGCTTGTGAGGACTAGCCCAAAGCTGTTATTTCACACAGGAGGAAGTAGAGCCTCAGAAATGGGAATGGCTGGAGCCAGGTCCCACGGTGAGTAGGTGGCAGCTCCAGAATTTGGGTGCTATGCTTTGCCAGTCTGCTGTGCTCCCCTGGGTGGCTGCCCTGTGTGGCTCAGGGGACACCTGGAGGGCATGACTGATGTGTGGGCAGAGGTCAGGGTGGTGAGAACCCACAGCATGGATAAGACAACTACCGAGGGCAAGTCAAGTCCTAGGGACTTACTGGGAAGCGAAGGAGAGAAACCAGAGCAACAGGAGGCAGAGTTCCAGGCCTTAAGGTAATCGCATCTCTTGGCCTAGGCAGGTGACAGGGTTTACAGAAGATGGGGGAAAAAATCAGCATGGTTGAGCACCAAGTGTATGCCACACACAGATATTTAATGCTTTACACATCCTGAGGGAGGTATCATTACAGATAAAGAAGGTGACTGGGAGACCAGTGCCCTCCAGGTCAGTTGCCAGCTAGTCTGGGCCTCAGGGTGGCAGTAACTTGGTGGGGCTGCTGTGTGACAGGATCCAGTTCTCAGCCTGGCAGGCCCAGAAACTCCGTGTTGTCAGTGACCGGTCAGCATCTCAGAACTAACATCAACTCAGAATCTGACACGTTCCCGAGAGACTGGGGTGCCGATGATCTGAGCTTTTCTCCCTGTGAGGTGGTGAGCGCTGCCTGGGGCATGGAAGCAGAACCCGAGGTTTAGAGCCCAGGCCAGGGAGCTCTCCTCACCCAGGGCCCTCATTGCCATGGCGACGTGAACTGCCGCGGGCTGCCCATCTCAGCTCCTGAGGCTGGGCTTCCAGCGCAGCGTGCACACACGTGGCCTTTCTCTGGGGCCTTTTTTTCCCAAACCCGCGGGCCGACCATCCTCACCACGCTCCTTGCGTACAGCAGTCTTCTTTCAGCTCAAACGCACACAAACTAGTCGAAAGCTTCAGACCAGCTGCCACAGCCGCGCTCTGGAGACCACACCCTGGACGCTCTGATGAGATTCAGATGGTCCAGAAGTCCTTGGCTGCCTCCTGACAGACCACGGCTTAGGGCAGACGCTGTCCATACGTGACAAGAATCATCCCCTACCTCTGGCATTTCCCAATTCCTTCACAGAAGCTGATTTTAATTTAAGGAGGAGGGCACCGGACTCCCCCACCCCTCCCCCCCGAAACTTCCTAAATTAAAGGTGAGGAATTGAGAAGGTTAGTAAACTTGCTTAAAGTCACATGGCTAAAAAGTGATGGCACCAGGATTCAAACCCACTTTGTTGTATACACCTCCCCTTAAGACTGGTAATGACAGCAGTGATAATAAGGCTCCCACGGGCTGAAAGCTTGCTGTGTTTTTTCATGTTATCCTGACAGCAACAAGCAGGAGACTGTTCTTGTCTTCGTTTTACGGGTAAGGGTTGAAGGGCAGAGCGGTAAAAAAAATCTTGCCCAAGCCAGGGTTGCTCGGCTACTAAGTTCAGGGGCTGGATTTCAAACCAGTCTGTCTGCCTCTCTGCCCAAGCCCTCAGCCCTCGCGCTCCATGGCAGAGCAGGATTTCTGCAATAGCTCACCTCCTGCCCCGGGGAGAGGCAGTCTGCAGCTCTGAGCAGGAGCAGGGACTAGCAGCCCTGTCGCAGGGTTACCAAAGTTCAGAGTCTTGCCCTCAGTGTTGTCAGTTTAGGGATTAGGTTTGTATGGGCTTCCCAGAGAGGAACAGGTTCAGGCGGTCTGACTGATGATGACTCAGCCCCACGGGTCAGAGCCAGACCTAATGAATTGTTCACCTGTGAATACACCGGCCAGAAGGGGATTGTGGTTAAGAGGCTGGCTCGGCAGTCAGACGCAGCTGGGTCTAAAGCTCCCACCACCGCCTCCCAGCCCCAAGACTGCGGACGTGTGACTCACCCTCTTTGAATCTCAGTAGCCTCAGAAAATGGGGGAAGTAACGCCAACCTTGTGCGGTGACGGTGGCTTAGACAGATACTGTGTGTAAATTCCCGATACAGTGGTTGATGCTTAGTAAGAGCTCCAGGAATGGTAATACTTCTAATTTTCATGATTATTATTTGAAAACTGGGCTTGGCCACCTGATAAGGTCCCCGACCCTCTTCCCAGGTCACATTGTAAAAAACAAATTCCAGCTCAGAAGGCTGCCAGAAAGCCCAGATCAGAGGGCGGGGCCTGAGCCCTCAGCCTGGGATAGTGGGATGAAGGGCCCAACATCCTTCCCTCGCAGCCCCAGGGGATTTCTGTTGGAACGCCCAGTGCCTGTTTGCACTCAGAGCCCTGTCTTCTCCCGGACAGAGCTGCTCCGAGACAAAGTCTCCTTTCTCAGTACTTTCACCCCACTGAAAAGCAGGCCCCATGCCACCTCATCTCCGCAGCCCCTGGTAGGTAAACTCTTGTCCCTGCTCCAAGGCCCTGGTCAAGTGCACCTTTATCTGTGAGGCCTTCCCAGCCCCCTCGGGCAGAGGTAGATCGACCACACGCTGATCATGCACCGAGCACATTCTGAGCACTGGGACACAACCGTGGACAACACAGATGGCTCTTCTCTTTCTGGAGCTTGAAGTCTGGTGGGTCAATAAACAAAACAAAGAAATAAACCCCATCATTGCAGCTGCTGGTTATTGCAAAGAAGGAAATAGCCAGTAGGTTCTGATAGACAATAACCCTGGGGGGGATGGAGCGATCAAGAAATGCCTTTCTGGGGAGGTGGCATTCACCCTGAGGTCAGAAGGACGAGATGGAGCCAGCTTTGCCAAGAGCGGGGAACAGAGGGTTCCCCACATAATAACAGCTTTTCCCTCCCAAGGAGGGAAAGAATTTGGTGTGTTTCTCAGTGATCAGAAAAGCAAGCTGGAGCAGATGGTGGGGGTGGGAGGGGGCATGGCAGTCAACACAGGCAGAGGCCTTGCTATTCTGTGTGCCCAGCAGGATGTGTGATAGCGAGAATGAGACTGGTTCCCATTTCTTGAGCATCTGCTGTGTGCCTGGCACCGTGTAGGCATCTTCCATAAATTTGCTCACTTAATCCTCATTCTCCCCATCACTCCCACCCACTACACAGGACCCCTATTCAGGTCTTGTCTGGCTGTGTTGTCAGTATTTCTCTGCGGGTTTGTTTCTCTCCCCCACCCCCATTAGCCCATAGGCCTCTCTCTGAGGCATCTGGGACCCCAGCACATGGCATGAGAACAGAGTGCTGCCACGTCTGAGGGGTTTTCAGCATCACTCCTCTTCCCCTGGTCTTGAGCAGGTACAGTTTGCGAGGTCAGCAGCAGACATTGATACATTTCATGGAAAGTTTGTAGAAAACACATCAGGCATCTCGCTGTGATGATTTAAGAAAATCTTAGTGGCATCAGGAGCATGCTCAGGAGTATTATTTAGGGCAGCCAGTTCTTGGATACTGTACTCAGGGGGCTAATCCAGCCCTTTGTGTGTTTGTGTCTACTACAAAGGGTGACAGTCCCAGGCCTTCCCCCCTTGCCCCAGTGGAGTGGTGTGGTCTAGACAGGCCACATGGACCTGGCTGCTGAGAGCAGGAATGAGTCTGTTCTATTGAGCACCCACTAAGACGTCATCATTGAGCACCCACTATGTCTACATCCTATGGCAGATGTTCTATTGGACATAGAAATGAATTCAATGTCCTGTATTGCAGGACTGGCTGTGTGCAATGCTATGATGGCAGTACAGCAGCACAGTAATGAGGAAGTGACTGATACAGCAGGGGCCAGGTCACAGAGAACCTTGAATGCCAGTGAAAGGCTTTGGATTTTAGCATGTAAGTAATAGAAGGGGAGGGAACCTAAAATGTGGTTTTCATTTTTAATTTTTTTTTAAAGTAGGAAATTATAAATAGCTCTTTTTCCTTTTTCTTTCTTTCTTTCTTTTTTTTTGGTGAGGAAGATTGGCCCTCAGCTAACATCTGTGCCAGTCTTCCTCTACTTTGTATGTGGGATGCTGCCACAACATAATTTGATGAGCAGTGTGCAGGTCCATGTCCGGGATCTCAACATGGGAACCCAGGGCTACCAAAGTGGAGTGCACAAACTTAACTACTACTCCACCAGGCCAGGCCCCAGCTCTGTTTTGAAAAGGCCATTCTGAGAGAAAGTGAAGAAAACAACAGACAAAGGGCTTGAAATAAGAAGCAAGAAACGTGTCCAGAGGACAGCGTTTGTGATGTTAGGGGCTTGGAGCAGTTCACTTCCTCCCCAGAGTGAGCAAGCCCTGGGGCTGGGAGAGAGGGATGGATCAGAGTAAGGTGTTGAGGAATAAGTAGGTGTTGAGGAATAAGTTGGGGGTGGGCAGGGGCAGGATGCCACTGTGGAGCTGCCAATCAAAGTCCACCCAAGACTCCAGAAACCAAGGACAACTGAGACGTCATGATGAATGGAGAAACACTGACCTTGAGTCGGCATCAGATTCCCACCCAATCTCTGTCACAGATCAGCTGTGTAACTTGGAATAAGTCACTTCATTCTCTGAACCGATTTCTTCAATTGAACAATGGGAATTACAAGCTCCAGATCTCGGACTGTAATGGATAAAAAGATGTGTGAAGACATCTTTCACTGACCCCAAGAATCCAAGGCCTTTCTCCAGGCGGTCAGTTGGAATGACTCTCTTCTTCCTCTTTGCATGTTCCCATCTTACGTCACCACGTGACTTTGGGCAAAAGATGGGCTTCCAACTCGGTGATTCCTAAAGGCCTCTCTGGCTCTAAATTGCTGGGTTTCTATGACAAATTTGGATTTTCAGATTAAATTGACTCAGGTCTACAGAGCACCCAGATGAAGCTGTTAGTTCTATAAATAATAGAGCCATGTTGCATATTTACTCATACCTTACCAAATCTTGGCAGTCTGTGCAATCTATTCTTGTTTGATTTTCAAATAAAATGTTATTTATTTCTTAAAGGCAGACAGGAATGAAAAGGCAATTATGTTATTATGGCCATTAAAGACAGGCTATATATAGTGACTCCCCTGTAGGTCTTCTCATCGTTCCTAACTTGAAATTTCCTTCTCTGAAATTGACCACAACCAGCGAGGATGGTTTGTTTTGAGAGTGTAACACAGAGAAAAGAGAGAGTCCCGCCCAAGGAAAGGGCAGGTGGAGGGGATGGGAGGCCATCAGACAACTTGTCCAGGCCAGTTCGGAAGGCATTGGCAGCCCTTTGAGGGACCTCCGACCAGAAGGTGATGGAATGGTGGTGGTAACTTGGAGCCTAGGTTCTCCAGGTTGGTCCAGCGCCTCTGAGCATGGAGCCTGGTCTCCAAATGAGCAGACCACCTGTGCTCTCCACCTTACAGGAAATCGGGGACAGGGTGAGTCAGACTCACAGGTTCTCCTGCTTCTTGAACCACCAAATCAGAGTTCAGGGATCTAAAATGGAGGCAAGATGATCCCAATATGAAGGGTATAGTTAGTTTAAAGAACAGACGCTTCTACCTGGGGAATCTGAAATGTGGTTTTCTGTCTGCCAGGGGCAATTTTGGAAAAGAATAGCTAGGTTTATGAATGCCATCCTCACAGTAACAGGAGGGAGGAAAGTTGGGCATAAGGACCTGGAGAGTAGAGGTGACACCTCAGGAAGACGAAGAGAGAGGAGCTCCCGAGGGCCAATCCTTTGCTTTTGATCCACAGGTGTATACGGATGCCAGTGCTCCACAGTCATCATGAGGGGTGGCTGGGGTCCCACAACAAGCAGCTCCACTGCACAAGCTGGTCGTTTATTTTGGGAAGCGATCCCGAGAAACACGAGGGAGAGGCTGGGGAGAGTAAATGGGGAAGAGGGGGAGCCAATCCAAGGGTCAGTTAGGGACTTGGCCAGTCCAGTGGGAAGCCGGCTGAGAGGGGAGTAATTCACCACCACTGGCTCCCACTGATCACAAGTCATCCTGTCGGTTGTTAACCCCCTCCTACCTCCAGGCCTCCACAGGTGTCAGAATGGCAAAATAGGTTTCCTCAGGCGCTCCACAGGGTGGTGGCAGAGGAGTCCTGGGACAGGAAGTGAGAGAAATGAGGTGCTGGGAGCAGTTGTAGCTGGAAGCCAAGTTCTGCCGGAGTAAAAAGGTGGGCTGAGAGGACCAATGCAGGCGTGAGAGGTGCCCCCTCCATCAAGTTAGAGAAGGCAGCATTTAGCTTGAGCAATGATGGACTCGCCCAGTCAAATGTGCACTCCCGTCAGGGGTGGGGAACTGGTCTAATTTTATGTTTAATATTTTTAGAAGGTTCTGGAAGGGCAATTTTCTTAGAACGGAGAAGAGAATAAAAGAAAGAAAGAAGAAGAGGAAGGAAAATTACTAGAATTTCAGGCAATTGCAAATTCACTAGCTTCTTTTTTTAAAAAAATAAAGCAATTTAATTTTTGTAATAATTGCAAAGCTAATTCATGCCTACAATAAAATAAACACTTAGAATATACAATGAATAAGTTTCCGTCCTGTCCCAGGGCTCAGTCTCTCTGCCCAGAGGTAATTACTGTTGAGTTTTTTGTGCGTTCTTCCCGGGATATTTTATGCATATGAACACATATGTATGTTTCCTTTTAAAATAGCAACTTGAAATACACACATTGTGGACTTGACTTTCTTCATTTTTTTCTGCTTCAAAGATTGCTTCATATGAACATACGTAAATCTAACCCATTTTTTAAAAAACCCTTCATAATTCTCCATTCATTATTGAGCTAGTCTCCTTTTGACGGACAGGTAGTGTTTTTTCCTCATTGGTTACAATGACCTGTGGAATATTCTTGTGCATCCTTCTCTGTACACATGTGTAAGGATATTTGAAGGATACATTTCTAGGAGTGAAACTGTAAAAAGAAAACAAAAGTGCAGTTAAACTTTTGGTTGAGATGGACAAGTTCTCTTGAAGGATTCTTGCCTGTCTACACTCCTGTCTCAGCGAGAAGAGTGCCTGCTGGTGTCTCCACATTCTCAACACTTTGTGATCTTTATAAATCTAGTAGGTGAAAAGGAATCTCCTTGGAGCCAGCCCTGGTGGCCTAGTGGTTATGTTTGGTGTGATCCATTTTGGCAGCCCAGGTCCACTTCTGGAGCGTCAGTGGTCATGCTATGGCAGCGGCTCACGTACAAAAAGAGGAAGATTGGATGGTAGCTCAGGGCGAATCTTCCTCAGGGCGAATCTTCCTCAGCAAAAAAAAAAAAACTTCCTTATTTTACTTTGCATCTGTCTAATTATGAGTGATAGTCATTCCATCATGTGTTTATAAGTCAGTTGTTTTCTCTTTCTGACACTGCCTGTCTAAGAGCCAAAATAACAGGCCAGCCCCGTGGCAGAGTGGGTTAAGTTCATGTGTTCTGCTTCAGCAGGCTGGGGTTCACCAGTTCAGATCCAGGAGGCAGATCTACGCACCAGTCATCAAGCCATGCTGAGGCGGTGTCCCACATTGAAGAACTAGAAGGATGTACAACTAGGATATACAACTATGTACTGGGGCTTTGGGGAGAAAGAAAAAGGAGAAAGATTGACAACAGATGTTAGCTCAGGGCCAACCTTCCTCACCAAAAAAGAAAAAGCAGCAAAAAAGGAAAAAAAGAGCCAAAGTAATGGACATACATGTGCTCTGTGTATAGGCTATGCCCAAATGAATCATGATTAATCTAGAAATCACCACTGAAGTCTGCGGCAGGCGTTGTGCCCAATGTGGGGTGACAACATGGTTACAGTGGATACAGCCCCTGCCTGCAGCACCTACAGTCACGGAGGGAGGGGACCAAATAACCCAGCGACTGAACTAAAGGCATTTAGGTGGCACAAGGGGAACTGGAAAGTGCACACAGCAGGGGCGAGTCATGTGACCTGCCTACCTTGCCACCATAGGGAGGGGGATGGAGAAGTTAAAAAGACAAAGGGAATGGGGCAGAGCATCCTCAGGAGGAGCTGGAAGGCTGCAGGTGTGAAGCCCGAGGTGACAGACAGCCTTAATGAAAGAAATTCCCAGGGGGTGAAAATAGTGGGGGCGTGGAGGGGGCCTGGGAAAGAGGAGAAAGTGGAGTGATGCACTGGCCCAGCGTGCTGGTTAGCTTTCAGTGTTCCATCCCAGAAGCCCCTGGCTCATCCAGAGAAGTCAGTCGTCCCGGAGGGCTGAGGCCGTGTTGTAGGGCTGCTTAGAAACTGTGCCAAGGATTGTGGACTTTATCGTAAGGGCAAGAAGTGAACAGTTAGTTTTCAACAGGGAAGTGACAGTTCGGAGTTCCGTAGTTCAGGGTTCGGTGTTGTGAGTCTGTGTGATTTACAGGGGGCAGAGGGGGCAGTGTGACCAGGCTGGAGCCGGGGAGACCGGCTGCGAGGCAGTTCACAGTATTACAGGTGAGCGATGACGGTGCCTTGACCAGGGATATGGGCAATGGAGGCGAGAGCCATGGCGGATTTGAGAACTGCGTAGGAAGTAAAACCAGCGGGATTCAGCAGGACTGACTGTTGGGAGGGAGGGAACGGGAGGGGCCTTGGGTGGTGCTGGGGTTCTCCGAGCTGGGAGGGGGCTGTGAGAGGAGCTGCCTGGGGAGGTGTGAGGAGGAGGGAGCTGGAGCTGACGGGTCCAGGATTCACTCTGTGGAGTTGAGGGCCCCCCAGAGATGTCTGAGGGGTGCATGCAGGAGGCATTTTAACATCTGGATCTGCAGTTCAGGAGAGAAGATCTTGGTGCAGGTAAGATTTCGGGCAATGCTAAAAACTGCCAACTGAAGTCATTGGAGTAGAAAAGACCACCCAAGGATGTAGAGGAAAGTCTAACTCAGGGCTGTAAGGATAATGACATGAATTAAAAAGGAAATAAAAAAATGCTGGTACACGAGTTCAAAGTAATTCAGTTTAGAATAACTTAAAAATATCTAGTGGAATTGTCCTTTATGAAGATGTGTTTACGTACTCACGTAACTCTGCTGACATGTATGCATGGGGAGAGGCCTCGGTGTTTGTTAAGAAGTCTTCTGGATGAACTTGGAATCACACGTTGCTTGTCGCTAAGTTTGTCCCCTCTGCTTGCAAGAGGCCTGCAGGGTCGAGAGGGAAATTCTGAGGATGGAGACCTCAGGACACAGCACGCTGTCCTCAGCTGCCCAGGCCAGGGGCGTCATTTGTCGGAGGTCACATGGCTGGTCCAGGTCTCCTGATTGCCACGCAGTGCCCTCATTCGGACACCTGCTCCTGAGAGAACCATAATCTGGAAGGACTGGAAGAAATCCTGGTGGCTGAACAAGCCCACCGCCTCGTTCTACTGTGCAAGTGCAGTGTTTGTTGGGCGAGGGGAGGGCCATGCTCACTCCCATAGATCTGCAGGGACCAGCAAGGCCAAATAAGGCGAACAGGACATGGGAAGGGTCCATGGAAGTCTGCTCGCCACAGCCACAAGCTTGCTGCCTCCCCAAAGGCGCGTTGCTCTGTGTCCACAGTGGCCTGGCCCTGCAGGCTTTGGGGAATTCACTCATGCTCTCATTTGACAGAGGAGGCATCCTAGGCCTGGCCAGCACAAGCAGACTACCCAGGTGGCTGCTAAAGGAAGCATCAGAAGTATGAGGAAGGCCTGCCCGTCAGAGAATGCCATGGTCCTCTTTCTGGTCCACATCCTTCAAATGTGTACAGAGCTGTAGCTTTTCATAGTCGTTTCATATATAGTAACCCCTGTCAGAGACAAAGATACAATGTTACACTGCTAAAAAGTGGTAAAGATGGGACTTGAACCCAGGTCTTTTTTTTTTTCCTGGTGAGGAAGATTGGCCTTGAGCTAACATCTGTGCCAATCTTCCTCTATTTTGTATGTAGGATGCCACCACAATGTGGCTTGATGAGTGGTGTGTAGGTCTACACCCAGGATCCGAACCCGTAAACCCCGGGCTGCCAAAGTAGAGCATGTGAACTTAACCACTATGCCATTGGGCTGGCCCCAAACCCAGGTCTTTTTCATTTATTTCACCATCCATTCAACAATTACCATTAACTGGGCACCTACTAATTGCCTTACACTCTGCTAGCCCAGGATACAAAGAAGAGTGAGGCTCATAGCCACCCTCAAGGGCCCTACACAAACACCTTCCTCACCCTGCTCAGGCCAGACAGCCATGCCAGGTCGCCCTCCATGGGGACACAAACACCCTGCCCTGGACCTCCCTCCTGCGTGGATGCCCACCCACTCAGGCTCTGACAACCTGCATGGGGCCACCCTCCCAGCAGACCCTTCCTTAGGGTCTGAGTCCCCATGCCAGGACACCCAAAAGGGACTCTCCTTTCACCTTGTTTAAGATGCCTTTCTCACGACACTTGGGCTCTGACGCATGCGGGGCCACCCTCCCATGTGGACGCCCTCCTCTTTCCACATGGGCCCCAACCTCACCGTGGGCCCCCACCCCCGTGTATGAACCTCTTCCTCACCCCAGTTGATTCCATCCTCCTGCTCTGGGCCACCATGGCCACTCCCCATTCAGATGCAGAGGCCTACCTTGTTTCACCTCACTTAAAGGCTTCTGAACAGAATTTTCTGGAAGGGAAGGGAAGAAGAAGAGAACTAATTCTCTCGGCCTGTTACTGTGTCCCATCCTTCTCCATTGTTCGGATCTCCTCTCTTCTGTGGGAACCCAATATTCCCTGGGACTGTTGAGTTCTCCAGTTCAGTGAGGGCTTCAATGGGTCCCACGAGGGCTGCCCTACCTTCTTGCCCATTTCTGTGCCATCCTGATGGCCTAGAACTCTTCAAGTGCCAAAGCTATATGGGGTCTGTTGGAAAGTGTGAAAGAACGCCTCAGCTCACCATTCCTCTTTGTCACTCTCTACTAAAGAAGTCCCCAGGCAGTGCTGCTTGGGCTCAAGGTTTTACAGTTTGAAGTCGAATAGCTTTTCCAGGGTGTACCTAGAGTGCTCTACTTGTGTTGTCCTCCCCCCTCTGGGATGGAGACAAATCTGGGTGACAGATCTCATGATGCGTGTGGGATTCCCTCCGCTCTTCCAGCTTAGACTTTACACCTACCAGATCAAGCTCGCAGTGCCCTGATTCCAACCCTCTTAACATAAGCCATCTCCCAGGAGGCTCCTTAGCCCTCACATGAACAGACGTCTGGTTGCCCACCGACGCACGCTCTAGACATTTCTAAACCCCAAACTGGACCCACTTCAATGATCTAGCTGAGCATTCTGTTCTTAGGTTGTTTCCCTTTCCCTTCAGTGTGCTCCATATACAGCAGGGTCTTTGTTTTGTTACCCAGCCACTGACTAAGACCCATGAGATACTGACGGCTGAGGAGTTGCAATGGTTCGTGGCAGAGACACATGAGGGCCCATCTGCTACAATCCGAGTCCCATGTCTAACCTGAAAGACAGCCTGGAATGCTTTTCCCTCCCACCCATCTCCCACCCATCTCAGCCTTTAGCCAGCCTGGAGGCAATTAGAATCTGTTTTCTCATTTTATGATGAGTTAAGGAAGAATTAGATAAAGGAACATTTAAGCTGCCTACGATCAGGAAACGCATCTATGGAGGAGATTCCTCAGACCACGGCTGTCTCCAGGGAAGGCTGGAAACCCCATTACTGCAATACACAGAAGGGGCCAGGCTAAGTCTTGGAGATGCTATCTTGGCCTGGATAACCCAACTCTGCTTTTCCATCTGCCATCCTTTTAAATTCCTGAATTCTAACGCAGAGTGGGCTGTTTTTAAGAGGAATGATGACAGAGACAGAATTCACTCTGTTTATGAAAGAGCAGAGCAAAAGTTTCAGCTGCAGAAGGACCCAGGCAAGGCCCTTGCTGACACTGAGGGCAATGGAGAGTGTGTGACCCAACTTAGCCCGAGCATGTCAGACAACCTCTCCGCATGTGAAGGACCCTTGGGCCCTGCTAGGAGTCCCAGGGAGTGACTCACCCCTGCTCAGAGACAATCTTACTCTCACCAGTGCTCCTCTGTCCCAAGGGTGCCACCATCACACTAGGCACTAAAGTCCTAGCCCAAGGAGTATAGAAAAGAGGCAGTGATGGGGGGAGGGGGTGGTCTCTGTTCATAGGCACGGGTCTGTGGGGGTCCTGCAAAGTCTTTGCGGGTTCTTAGGTAGCAGTAGCATGTGGGGGAGGGGCACAAATATCACACTGCCCTGTGCAAATGCCATCTGACTCTCTCTATGTCATTACACAAGCTCTTACAGTAGTGCTAGCCGACAGACTTTCTGTAGTGTTGGATACATTTTAAATCTATGCTGTCCAGTAGGATGGCCATTTAGCCATCTGTGACTATTGAGCACTTGAAATGCGGCTAATGTGGCTGATCAACTGAATTTTTGATTTTCTTTCATTCTAATTTATTTAAATTTACATTTACATGGCTGCATGTGGTTAATCGCTACTGTATCGGGCAGTGCAGCCCTGGACAGTGTCCTGCTCTGCTGGATGCCATCATCGCACTCAGGCATCACCAGTGATGGCCTGAATTTTTGGGGGCACCAAAAGGGTACCTCGTGGAGGAGTGGAGAAAACACCTCTCCCCCTGTATCATGCTCTGTTATAGGGGTCCCGAGAGTGCCGTTTCTGCCTTTTTTTTTCCCTTAAAGATTGGCACCTAGGCTAACAACTGTTGCCAATCTTTTTTTTTATTTCCTGCTTTATTTCCCCAACCCCCCCCCATACATAGTTGTATATCTTAGTTGCAGGTCCCTCTAGTTGTGGAATGTGGGACGCCGCCTCAACGTGGCCTGACGAGCAGTGCCACATCCGCGCCCAGGATCTGAACCGTGGGCCGCCGCAGCGGAGCGCGTGAACTTAACCACTCGGCCACATAGCCGGCCCCATGTTTCTGCATTTTTTTAAAGCCAGCTCTTTGTGTTTAATTCAGCTCCTGACTTTCCACTGGGCCTGTGAGTCCACAAGGCCCGGGGTTGGGCTGCAGTCTCCAGAGACCTGCGACTAGAGCTTTGTTACTGGATAGACCGCTCAGCCCTGGATCTCCTCTGCTCGGCAGACATCCTCTCCCAGGAGCCCCTCGGCTCCCTGCTGTTACCCTTCACCCAGGCCCGAAGAGCAGCTCCTTCAAGAAGCTCACAGACTCCTGAGAAGACACAGAGATTGTCTGCTCGGCTGAAGTCGAAATAAAACAACTAAACAGACCAGGGCAGCAACGGAGAGAACAATTTTCTCTGGAGCTGTGGTCCTCATGGTGTAGTCACTGAAAAGCACCATGAGTGTCAGCTGGGAACTTCTTGGAAATACAAATCCTGGACCCCGCCTCGGCTGTTGAATCAGAAAGCCCGGGGGTGGAGCCCGGCGATCTGTGTTTCGACAAGCCCTCCTCGCTCTGAAGTGTGGGAACTTGGGACGGTGGTGATGGGTGGGGGCAGAGGGAGTGTGGCAACCTCTTGGAAGAATCCAGGAAGAGCGTCCCCTGGGGCCCGTGGAGGAGCGCAGCCAGACGCGGGAAGGAGGGCATGCCCGCCCAGCACAGGACCCGCTCTGCATCCCGCAACCACTCCCAGCTCGGCGTACCTTCTGATGTAGCTTTAAGAGTCTCGGAGTCATCACTTTGTTGATGTTGTGTTGTCTAGAGTAAACAGCGAAGAATTCTTTAGAGTCAAATAAGATTGCTTTGTGTTTTAAAAAAAGATCTCTTGGTTGAACTCCATTTTGTGTTCTACCTTTAAGTAAGGAGTATCTTTAGACTAATTTCTGAAAGTTACAAAATTCACCTAATGAACTCGTCCGACCTCTTTTCTTTGACTCCTTTAAAGAAAGCATATAGCTTTTAACACAAAAGTTCTTCTCAAAGTGTTTTGTTTTGGGGGCAAATTTATGCTCAGAGATTTGAGTTTGTCTTTGTCAATATTTTATTTAACGTGGGTTCACTATGGGAGTTATAACAACTTCACAAGCCAAGAGCATACAGAATAAGTCTCTTAATAAGCCAATAAAAAGATAATGTACTCCAAACCAATGATAAAGCAATCACACTATTGTTCCAGGCAAGAGGAGATAAAAGGAATAAAGTCCACATTTAATTGAGGTGTACAGTTTTATGCGTCGGCTAAACCAACCAAGAGCTCACTTCCAGCTGCCAGTGCAAAATAAAAGTTTCTCGCTGTGGCCCGTTGCTAGTGAATGCAGGTGCCGGTGTTGGCCCACAAGTTGCTCTCCTGCATGGGGCCGCTGTGCCGTTTGTCACCCCTACTGATAAGGGAGGCACCCTGACCTCAGTAGGAGCTAATGCCCCAAGGTCTTCGGCGAGTTTATGTAGGTCAGCAAAGCTTGCCTTGCCCAGACCAAAACTCCCGGGTGTTCCTCTCAAACCCGGGTATTTGGAGTCTAAATGTCCCCTTGCCACGTGGTTGCTACTCCACATGTTTTTACTAATAGGTTCCCCAGCAGTGCCCCTCATAAGCTGAGTGATGGAGTGCTTATCAATGACAACAGATAAGATGATAAATCCCAACACAACTTTCTTCATTCTTATATCAAAACAACAATAGTTGTCTTTGTCCTAAACAAGTAGCTTAAAACAATTTCGCTTAAGTCATAAACAAGTGGACTTGAAATCATATCAGACCAATACACAACACAAAGAAATTAAAGATGGATAGCTTAGACATTGCTTATGTAATAATTCTCTTCTCTTGGACATTTATTTTGTCTTTCAACTTTATTTCCCCTGCAATTCATGTACCCGCCATCTTGTCTCCAACCTCCCCACAGACTTCCTGGCTTTGAACGAGGAAGCCAGGTCACCAACCTGTTACAATCGTACAGAGTTAAGGGTGAAGCTCTAAGCAGGAGACTTTCTCCCTTAAGTGTCATGCATGGATGCTACTTTGCAATTTCATGGTTTAGTGAAAAAAGAGCAGTTTCCAATCAGACAAATTAAGGTTCAATCTTAGCTCTACCTCTCACGAGCTGGTCATTAAACCATAAGTCTGCGTTTCCTCACTTCCTTGGCTCTAACACGGGGCTAAGGACGTACTGTGGGGGTAAATAAAATAATCATGTGTAAAGTAGCCGGCATGTAATAAACAGTGATTGTTATTGCTACCTTCCTGTCCTTCTTTCAGGATAACAGTAAAATGTGCAGAGCTCAGACTCAGAAGCAGATTAGCCTGAATCCAGTGCCACCACTTATTGATCGCGTGACCTTGGGTAAATGACTGAACTTCTCCTCATCTCAGCTTCCTGATACTTAGAATGGGGATGGTAAAAATAACCCCTACCTCATAGATTCGTTGTGAGGATTAAAAGTCCTGATACATGTAGGGTTCATGGAAGAGTGCCTGCAATATAGGAAGGCCTGGATATAGGCTAGCTACTGTTATTGCTGTTATTATTATTCTCAGTTCTCAACTCGTGTGGACAAGTGAGAAGGCCAGAGGAGGGACCTGCAGCTGAGTAACACACTCCCACTCATTGAGACTTTTCTGAGCATCAATCAGCTTTTTAGCACTACATAACTGTTTCCATGAAATAAGGACTCCTGTTCCCTCCAGGACGTCTTTATCATTCCTTGATTTCTTTAAAAAAATTTTGTTCTGATGGGTTTTGACGGTTCACTTGTTCTATATCACGTGACAGCCATTTCTCTACCAATTCCGTGAAATGATTTGGGGAAACTATTTTTTGGGGAAAGGGAATTGGATTGACCAATTGATTGTTTCTCCTACTTTGTTTCATAAAAGATTTAGAATGACAAAGCTGAAGAGTCCAATTTTATGCAAGTCCAGTATTTTCTTTCTAGATTTTTATCTATGATCCTTCAAAGAACCCACTCAGTCAAGTCACTGAATTAAATAAACCTGACTTAGGTTGAGTGGTTTTGCAGGTGTTGATCCTGTTCCAGTGAAATCCTGCCTTTAGCTTGGGGCTTGGGCTATTCTGACAGTTGCAGGGGTTGAGATCGAGTCCTGTCGAGAGACTCTTGTACTACTCTTCTTACCGCTGGATGACTTGAGTGTGAAATCCAAAAAGTTCCCTGCAGAAGTGAATATTCTCCGTTTATAAGGTTTTGCTCCCCAGAGTAGGAAGAACCCTACCCCTTCATGTCAGAATTCTTGGCCCTTTTGTCTAAAGTTTTATTACTTAATCTCAACCTTTTTTTTTCTCCTTCCACCAAATCAAGTCCCGAAATGTGGCTTACTCCTCCCTTGCCTCTTTATGGGACGCAGATAGCTGCACTTCCAGATCCATCCATTCCTGTAGGACCCTTCTTCCTAGGACAAACTCAGCTGCCCAGAGCTGCTCTGCCCAAGGCATCTGCTCAGCACTACCTGACACAGCCTTAGAGTGACGTTCTATAATACACAGAAAACGCCCTACTGATGTTCGCAAACAGACTTCTCTATCAGTGGTCCTCAGCTCTGCCTGCACGACAGTCACCTGGGAGGCTCTTAATCAATGCAGAGACCAGGGTCCCCTGCTATACTAATTGAACCACATTCTCTAAGGGTGGGGCCCAGGCGTCAGCATTTTTCAAAGCTCCCAATGCAGCCGGGACTGGGATTCACTCCTCCAAATGGGTGAAGCCTAAGGGAGCCTTAGTGACATGCAAGTGGTCCCCTCCGTACTTGAGGAGCCCTAGGAGGAAGTCACAGAGACCACATGATGGTGGGAGTCGTGGCGATGGCTCCTCAGCGTTGGAAAGAGCCTCTCATATTGCTCCATCCCATCTGAAAGTTCCAGACAAGCATCTAGCTTCTTTAAAAACATTTTTTTGTTGTGATAAAATGTACATAACATAAAATTTCCCGTTTTAACCATTTGCAAGCAGACAGTGCAGTGTCATTAAGAACATTCACACTGTTGTGCAACCATCACCACCATCCATCTCCGGAACTCTTTCATCTTCCCAAACTGAACCTCTGTGCCCGTTGAACACTAACTCCCCGTTCCCCCTCCCCCTAGCCCCTGAAAATCACAAATTCTGCATTCTGTCTCCATGAATTTGACTCTAGGTACCTCCTCGAAGTGGCATTATACCCTGTTTGTCCTTTTGTGTCTGGCTTATTTCATTTAACGTAATATCTTCAAGGTTCACCTGTGGTGTAACTCATATCAGAACTTCTCCCCTTCTTAAAGGCTAAATAACATCCCATTGTATTGCACTGTATTTTGCTTATCCATTCATCTGTCAATGGTCATTTGGGTTGTTTCTGCATTTTGGCTATTGTGAGTCATGCTGCTGTGAACATTGGTGTAGAAATACATCTGAGTCTCTGCTTTCAATTCTTTGGGGCAGGTACCAGCCTCTTGTATCTCTGTAAAACTATCAAGGACTTCTCTTCCATCAGCTGAAGAAATGAGGGGTCAAGGTCTACCAAAGGGCCAGACATTACATAGGTCAATGGTAGGCGGAATATGGGCAGGATGCAAAAGGATATTGGTGGGAATGTTTTCTTAGTATGAGAAAATATGGGAAAAAAGAATCAGGAAAGCAACTTTGGCTAAAAATTGAGACGAGTTCCCTGGTCATGGACTGTCAGAGTGTCCCAGGCACCCCGGAATACAGAGTTCCCAAACTGGGGGGGCTGGGGCCACGTCTTGTCCTCACATGTGTAGGTTTGACCTGTGCAAGTTTTTAACTTTTTAAAATTAGTTACTTGCATTTGATAACAAGAAGATTTCATTTTAAAAATCCAGATTTCAGGGCTGGCCAGGTTGCATAGTGGTTAGGTTTGTGTGCTCCACTTCAGTAGCCCGAGATTGGCAGATATGGATCCTGGGCGCAGACCTACACACCGCTCATCGAGCCATGCTGTGGCAGCATCCCACATACAAAACAGGAGAAGATTGGCACAGATGTTAGCTCAGCGACAATCTTCCTCACCAAAAATAAATAAAATCCAGATTTCTTGTTTCTCTTTAAAAATTTGATGCATTAGCAACACTGCCCACATTCCATCAAAGTGGCAAATGGCTGGAGGTGGTTGGCAGCTGCCCCCTCTGGAGTGGACACACACTCTCCAGGCAGCCACGGTCCCCATTCCTTTCCACTGTGAATTTGGCCTGTGTCATTCATTTGTATTTCCTTCCTGGCCCCTGAGAGAATTTGCATTTATCATCTCTGGTCTAACACAAAGCTTTCAGATCACAGGTGAAAAGCCCGAGAGCCGTGTGGACAAGTACTTTGGCCAAGGTGACATGGTAACCTGGATCCAGAGCTGGAAGGAGGACCCGTGTCACACGACCCCTTAGTCTGAGTGCTTTTTGTTTTTGTAATCAGGTACAATTGACATACGATAAACCGCACATATTTAAAGTACAAAATTTGATGAGCTTTGACATATGTATACACACGTGAAACCTACACCAAAATAAAGCTTATGAACATGTCCATTACTCCCAAAAGTTTCCTGTGCCCCTTTGTAGCCACTGCCTCCCTCTCCTCCCTGCCCACACCCCCTCCACTCGGCCAGGAGTCTCTGGGCGATCACTGATTGGCTTTCTGTCCGTCTAGATTAGTTTGCATGTCCTAGAAATTTATATAAATGGAATCAAACAATATGTACTCTTTTTCATCTGACTTCTTCCACTCAGCATAATTATTTTGGGATTCATCTATGTTGTTGTATGTATCAATGTATCAAGAGTCCATCCTTTTTTATTTCTACATAGTATTCTGTTGTGTAGCTATATCACAAATTTTTTTTTTTTAGGAAGATTAGCCCTGAGCTAATATCTGCCGCTAATCCTCCTCTTTTTGCTGAGGAAGATTGGCCCTGAGCTAACATCCATGCCCATCTTCCCCTACTTTATATGTGGGATGCCTGCCACGGCAGGGCTTGACAAGCGGTGTGTAGGTCCACACCCGGGATCCAAACCTGCGAACTCCATGCCCCGGAAGCGGAATGTGTGAACTTAACTGCTATGCCACTGGGCTGGCCCAACTATACCACAATTTTTTATCCAACCACCCAATTTTGCATCCAGTAATCACAATTTCTATTCAATCATGAACATATGAGTTATTTCCAGTTCTTGACTATTACAGATAAAGCTGCTCTAAACATTCTTGGACAATAAACTATTTTTTTTAAAGATTGGCACCTGAGCTAACAACTGTTGCCAATCTTCTTTTTTTTTTTTTCTGGTTTTTCTCCCCAAATCCCCCCAGTAAAGAGTTGTATATTTTAGTTGTGTGTCCTTCTAGTTGTGGCATGTGGGACGCAACCTCAGCATGGCCTGATGAGCGGTGTTCTGTCCACGCCCAGGATCCGAACCGGTGAAACCCTGGGCCACCAAGTGGAGTGTGAGAACTTAACCACTTGGCCATGGGGCCGGCCCCCACAATAAACTTTTATTTCTCTTAGATATAGACCTAGGAGGGAATGACTGGATCACATGAGAGATATGTATTTAATTTTTAAAAATAAACTGTCAAATTGTTTTCCAAAGTAGCTGTACCCACCAGCAGTTTTGCATTCCCACCAGCAGTATTTGAGAGTTCTAATTGCTCCACTTCCTCACCCATACTTGGTTTGGACAGTCTTTAATTTTAGCCATTTTAGGGGGAGACTAAGGTTTCACTATGGTTTTATTTTGCATTTCCCTAATAACTAGTGATGTTGAGCATTTTTTCCTTGTGCTTATATCTTTTTTTTTTCTTTTGGTGAGGAAGATTTGCTCTGAGCTAATGTCTGTCCCAATCTTCCTCTATTTTGTATGTGGGTCACTGCCGTAGCATGGCTTGACAAGTGGAGTAGGCCGATATCAGAGATCCTAACCCACAAACCTGGGCCACCAAAGCAGAGCACACCAGACTTAACCACTACACCACAGGGCTGGTCCAACCTTTTGCCCATTTTTTAATTGGCTTGCCACCTTTTGTGTGTGTGTGTGTGTGTGTGTGCAGAAGATTGGCCCTGAGCTAACATCTGTTGCTAATCTTCCCCTTTTTGCTTGAGGAAGATTGCCGCTGAGCTAACATCTGTGCCAATCTTCCTCTATTTTATGTGGGATGCCACCACGGCGTGGCTTAACAAGTCATGCTAGGTCCACACCCAGATCCGAACCTGCAAACCCTGGGCTGCCGAAGTGGAGCGTGC